CAAAAGAAAGATATGTCTATTTATCAATTATGCGAAAATCATCGGGCACAATAACAATCCCATTATAATCAAAATCACTCATAATAGAAAAAGAAATCCTTTCCAGACTTGACTCCTACTACTTTTTCCGCATAACCTGAAATTAACAAAATAATCAAATAAGCGTAAACATATGGATAGAGCCAAAAAATCTTGTTAGGGTGGGCACTTAATTTATTTTCTAATTGATAAATTTAAAATGACAATTTTATTATTTATATCATATTTTTACTTAGAAATTTCACTAAACATAAACGGAACAAAAATCATTATACATAGTTTCTGCAAGGAAAAAACAACAAAAAAATAGATTGTTTACAATTATTAATAAAAGAATTAATGCTAATCACAATCATTTACATTTGACTTCGACCGGTTTTACATTATTTAATAGTGTTGCATGTTAAGTTTTAGTCATTTAGATATTTATACCGATTAATATGAAAAAATAAATAATATAAGGTGGGCAAATTTAAAAATAAAAAAAAAATCTGAATTTTTATGTAGGTAATTTTTGAAATAAATAATTCAGCCCTAGGCCTAAGCTAGCATTTAATCATATAGAAGCATTTATGTCTTGGTGGATTGCAAGACATATTCTCCTTGCTTTTGTTCATTTGCTGGAGTTTTTTTTTTTTTTTTGTTGATCCTTGGAGTTACATTGCTAGATTGCAGGATTTTGGGACTGTGTTGTGTCAATTGAGTGATGAATAGGGTCCATTAATTCTTGGGTTTTTTTTTTTGTTCCTCTTAGGACAGAGGATGACAGGTTTTTTTTTTTTTTTTTTTTGTTGGATTAGATGATCTACCATTCTCCTTTTATTTTCTTGATACTGTTGCTTGTTTGTGTTTCTTGCTTGTAATTAAGCATCCGTTACATATACGGTATATGTGTATCTATCTTTGATTTAATACCACCGTGATGGTGGGTCTCAAATCATATGCACTCTTCACCACTCGCTCATCGTGAAGGCATCCCATCACGTGTCGTAGCAATTAATAAACTATTTTGCAATAATAATGACTTAAAAGACCAAATACCGGACCACCGAGTAGGGTGGTCTAGTGGTGGTATCAGTCTTACTCTTCATCCAGAAGTTGGGAATTTGAGCCCTGGAGTCCCTATTACAGCTTGGTGGTTGGCCGCTATGCTAACCTAGGTAGGTCTGATCCTGAGAGGTGTTCCAGGCGCGGTTAGGGGCTTTATGATTCCACGGATGAGGGCCTAACGGGATGGTCGCTAGCGCTCTTGCTTGCCCCCACCCCATTTTTTTAGAAATATCGAAAAAAAGACCAAATACCAAAGGTAATGTCCTGGAGCACAGCACAGGTGACTACCAAGGTTTCCTATGCCTCAAGTTTATTCCGATGCTTTTGGGCCGGCATGGATACTTTTATTTTTTGTTGAAAGCAAAGCAGATAGGGTTTGTTATACAGTTTTTCAACCAGAAATCAGCATAAAAAAATAAGAGTTAATAGTATTTATGGTCCCTAAAATATGTAGTTTGTGTTACTTTAGTCCTTATTCTATCAATTTTATCTTTAAAGTATTCAATTTGTGTCATTTTAGTCCCTAATTATATAATCCGTTAAGTTTTTTAACGAAAGTGATCATGTGTTATTTTTTTAAATAGTATCACATGCTAACCACGTGATCATTTTGTCAAAAATTTAACAGCCCGTCTATGTAGGGACCAAAATAACACGAATTAGATATTTTAAGGGACTAAATTAATAAAATTGATACAATAAAGACTAAATTGACAAAAAAATACATTCTTTAACAACCAAAAGTGTCGATCCAAAAAACAACTATCACCTCATCAGGAACTGTGACATCTGAAAAGAAACAGAAAGCTAGCTAGAGCACCACAATAACCATTATCCACGCCATTTCCTCATACCCTCCTCCATAAACAGTCCCCAAAACCCCTATATGTACCCCTTCTGAGTCCTCACCCTTATCTTCACTAAAAACCCTAAAGAAAATCTCAAAAAAAAATCCAAAATCCCACTGCTAACTTCAATCCCAAACGAGATCAAATGAAGTCGATTATTGCATCGGTTTTCGTGATTTTAGCTTTCATTCAGCTCATGGTTGAGCCAGGACAGGCTGTGATCACATGTGAGCAAGTTGATTCTGCTTTAGCCCCATGTGTCTCCTACCTCACTCAAGGTGGTGAACCTTCAACTTTGTGCTGCAATGGCGTCAGGAGCATCAAAGAGATGGCCCAGAAGCCGGAGGACAAGAGGGATGAGTGCAATTGCATGAAGGAAGCTGCGAATAAGTACTCAAATTTGAGGGACGAAGCAGCCCAGGCACTTCCTGATAAGTGTGGTGTCAAGATTGATTTCCCAGTCTCTCGACACATCAACTGCGCGTTGTAAGCTTTTTCCTTTATTATTCGAGTTTGATAGAACTGTTCATTAATAGTTTGAGATTGACTCGTATTGAAGCTCATTTAAGTGCAGTTGAAATGCACTAAGCTAGTTCAATTTTAAAACCAATGAGTCGAGTTTGAACAAAATATTAGTTTGGTTGGCTTGTCTAGACTAGTGACCATATGTATAATGAATAATGTGTCATATACTAAACATATCAAATATAATGAGAACTGAAGGGGAAATTTATTTTAAATTTCGTATAAACAACGAGTTAAGCCCGAGTAATGATTTGTTTGGCTTGTCTAGCCTTATATGTACACAGCTCTGAACTTTAGTTTAAACAAGAACACAAGTTCAAGCTCGGCCTGGATTATCAAACAAACGGATTTGAGCCTGTGTTTGGAAAAATTTAACGAATTAAACTTGATTTTGAGTATGAATCTGAACTTGAGTTTAAACTAGATCACAATTTCTAGCTTTGATTCATTTTATCAAACAAGCATAGTCGAGCCAAGCTTGAGTTCGGAAAAAAATTGTGAGACAAGCTTAAACAATCTTATTCTTCAGAATCCCGAGTTATTTTTTGAAAAATATGAGTCGAACGCGAGCCTAAATAGTCTATAATACTCGGATTGGTTTCGGATGCACCTCTATGCCTCTGAAAATTAATTGTATGTTAATTACTTGTGTCTCCTCTTGCAGTATAAACTGAAAATGGAGCTGATCGGCCAGAAATAATGCAAAGGGAGTTATGTCATGGATCTCCTCTGCCTAATTATGTTTCCTTACAAGGAGGAGTTAGTAAATAATAATTCCCTTGTGCAGGCTTTGTAATAATACATTCATATGACTTATGTAGCTTTCTTTGTTGGGATGTATGAAGCTTATTGAGCAAATGATATTTAGTTTATTTCTACATTTTCTTCTCTCTAGCTATATTTTAAAAAGCATCAAGATGAGAATTATTTTTATTTTCTTTTACAATTTTGGCACACTAATAGTAAAATTTAGCAAAACTAACCAAAAACAAGTATAAAATTTGGGCATAATGTCGTTCCATTTGACACTGGAATGGAATATTCCAAAGTTTGTCATATCTTCGTCATATGTTTATAGAATTATTATATTGATATTTAAATAATGCAAGGGGTGTTCTTAAAGATAGGACAATCAACTGGGGTGTGGATAAAATTTTTCTATAAATTAAATCATTGTTTATATAATTTCATTTCAACCAAAATCCCATAAATTAAAATTATTGGGGTCCGTTTATTTATCAAGAAAGCAGTAGAAAATACAAGAAAGATAAAATTTTTAAAATTTGCTTATATTTTGTCACAAAAAACAAAAAAAAATAAGAAAGTTAAAATCAATAACCTAACTTTTCATTTTACCTTTATTTTTTTAACAATATTTAATTAGTTATTAATTTTGAAAAAAAATTGATATGACTTAGACTAACTATATAATCTAGTTCAGAGATCTAAGTTAAGGTCGATCCTTGTCCCAAACTAACTGGGTTAGGAGCTATTTTTTTCTTTAAATCAAGTTAATATAATTAAGAATAATTAGTTATTAATTTTTAAAAAGTTTAGTATAAATTAGACTAACCGTACAATCTGATCCATAAATCTGATTTCAAGTCTATCTTTGTCCCAAAACTAGGTTAAGAGTTAATTTTTTTTTTAAAAAAAATAATGCTTAATTATAAATTTATCATACATATTTTTTTTTAGACCAAATTAATATAATTAAGAATAATTTGGACAATAAAAAAAATTATAATTTTCTTTTATTTAAATAATAAAATAATTTTTTAATCTTATAATTTTTTCACCCTAATTAATTACATACATAAAATATAATTAATTATAATTTTCTTTTATTTTAATAATAAAATAATTTTTTAATCTAATTAATTTTTTCGACCCAAGCCATACCTGTTCGGTTCCCAAGCGACCCGAATCGAGCCTTCTCATTGTAACAGAACTCGTTTACCTCGCTCTCTCTCTCTCTCTCTCTCTCTTCTCGCTCCCTTGCCCTCTGGCGGGCGTACAGTGACCCCTCGTTTTGATTCAGCTAAGGTAAGTGAAATGTAAACAATTTCTCTCTATTACGACACACCCCTCCTCTGATTTGGTCGAGTGAAACATATATGTTCAGTTCAACAGACTCCCATTAAATTCGAAATACGTGCTTCGAATCAGAAACGTAGTTTCTTCAAGTTCATGAGATGTTTGTTATAATGCCCAGCTGATAATTTTGTGGTACTTTTCTTTATATGCTCCAAGAGGTGGGTTTTTAAATTAGTTATATTATGGATACATCGAACACCATTTCGGTTGATCATGTTATGGGTTATGCTTTGGATTATTATTTGTTTGATCCTTTTTATTAAGTGAGGATTTGACTCACTTTGACAATAGTTTTGGACAATCTAAGCTGAAGAACTAGAGTAGAAGATTAAAACAAATATTGTTTCAATCAAAAAATGAAAAAAAACAAAAAATTATGTTGGTTAAGAATGAACATGATTCTACCAGCCTTATAAAGTATGCTCTCAAATATGTCATTACAGTTTGTTAATTGATGGATCGTTGGAGCGGAATTTTGAAGGTCCCATTGTACCCTAATAGCAGGGCTCACTATAAAGTTGCAGCTTCTCTATGCCTCTCATTATCTTCCAAAACTCTAATTGTAAGTTCTTGTTACTTGAATGCTAAAAAGAATCATGATTTACAATTGACTTCCGTTTTAAACCCCAAATCTGCTGACTGCATTCTCCAGAAACATCATTTTTATCTGTCAAGAACTCCCATGACAAGCAGGACCAGTAAACAATCAAACTTATGCATATCTAGAAATTGCAAAAGTAATCCGTTTGAAGATTCCCTGATTGGGATTTTTATTTCCACATGAGAGCAGGAACCTTCTGCAAATGCCATCTTCTTCAATGGAGATCGAGTTGGATTTACTGGCAATCCAGTGATTGAGAGGCTATCAGATCTACAGAAAATTGCTGAAATTATGGTTTCGAAAATTGGTGGTTCTATTAATGTGTGGGTTATTGAGTCTTCTACTTTCAATGGGCCTTTTGCTGTTTACAAGGATTTTATCCCATCTGTAAATGAGAGCGGAGAACCAAAATCTTACAAACCAACTGGATTCCCAGCTTCTACGTCCACTGTCTCACTCTTATCAAATTGCCTTAAACAGGTATATTTGCTAACCAGTCTCTATTTTCGTGTATATTTTTTATAGATTGTGTTTCTGAAACTTTCACAAAATAGGTTGAGTAGAAAATGTACTTGCATCATATGCTAGTTATTTAATTTGTTACCAATGGACAATTAACAATTTCTTATCAATTGTACCTGTACATCACTTCTAACTGATTTTGCTTGGGTAGGAATCATGATTTCTGATTTGGTGAGCTGAGGAAACATGATATTACTGGATTGAGAAGAATTACTTTTTAAGGCTTTGTATATGCACTTTCTTTCTAATATGTATCAGGGAAAACTTTATGCTTGCAAAGAGAGAGATTCATAAAGAACGTAGAGAGCTTGGCCATGTTTTGTACTTTGGTCTGAGCTATGTGAATCCTTTTTGGTTATTTTTGCTCAATGAGGTGCTATGAGTTTGTGAAGAAGGAACATATAGAGTTTCTTATTAAATTAGGCCTCGAGAGTTTCATGGAGATAGTGGCATTCATTTGATATGAACACTTCATCCATATAGCAAAATCCTGCAGCTGTTACTTTTAGTTGTGTCGTAGATCAGAGTCATTGCATTATGTGTTATTGATATGACTGCATGGACATTATATTAAATCTGTGATTTTTTGTCATTTAAATGGCCGCAGCTTTAAGCAAATCTTTTGAAAGGGATGTGTAACTAACTTCTTGCATCTAGTTGAAAAGTCTATCAAAATGAATAGTGTCTACATATCAGCTCGTTTAAAGGGGAGAATAGATACACATCTTCACCATCAACATAGTCTCCTCATAAATTGGTGTTCATGTATTTAAGTTATTCTTATATTTTGTGGAGTGTTTCTGTGAATTCATGCAGAATTTTTATCTTCATCATTACAGCCGACATTTTCACAATGCATTTGCCAAATTCTCCTGGCCTGCAATTATATTTATGAACCTGATATTTGTTACTGTCACAGGCAAAACATGTCATTTCAGGGGGACGGAAAGAACCAAATCGATCTGAAGTTTCTGCATCATCGAAGTGTACTCCCAACACGTTAATCCTTGGATTTAGCAAGGGTGGTACTGTCCTTAACCAGTTATTAACTGAGCTTGGCTTCTCAGAAGTCAAATCCACAAAAAATCCAGCCCATTTTGATAAACGGCTAATGAATGGAGGAGTGACTAACGTCCATGAAGAGGATCACATTGTACCATGTTCAAAAGAAAACCTCTTAAACAGCATAACTGAAATCCATTACGTGGATGTTGGCTTAAATTCCGCCGGTGCATATCTCAATGACCATGATGTGATAGAGAAAATCACCAAGCGCCTTATTCAAGGAGCCTCTGGAATTCTTTTTGTCCTTCATGGAACCCCCAGACAGTGGTGTGATAGCAGGCGAGTTTGGATTCGGAAGGAAAAGGACAAAATGGTTCAGCTGCTTGGTACAGAAGCTGAAAAGAGTGGAGGGAAATTGGAAGTTTGTGAAAGATTTTACTTTGCTGATAGGCCTCCTAGTCTGCAGATGCATTTTGAGATCATTGAAAATTTGGCTGTGAACTAGAGTTTTGCTTAACTTGATAGAAATGCATATTTTGTAGCACTCACAACCATATGGTAGTGCTTAAAGGGCATTTTAAAGGATCATGTTGTATATAATGCATGTGCATGCACCGAGTATATGTATATGTTTTGTCAATTTTATTTGTGAATATATGCCAAACAAAATACTGAAGTCCTTTGTGGAAGTTTAGAATCGCAAACCATGCTAACAAACTATGCTGCTGTTTTCTCCTCCTGTATCGTCTTATCAATCCATCATTAACTTGCCAAGAAACCTGATGGGAAAGAAACACTAAGAGAAATAGTTTTGAGTTTTAGGCTTTTTGTAGTTCATGTTGTTTTTTATTCAAAAATGAAATACTAATCTCGTGTCAGTGTTACTGGCTTGGTTAATTGGGAATTTTTTTTTTTTGTTAGTAAGATTCAAAACTTGATTGATCTTGTTTCTTCGCCCCCAAGGATTTTGATTAACTCAATTTCAAAATTTGTCAAGTTACAATCATGCGTAGTCGCTATTACATCTTAGTTGTCACTCTGTTGGTCTTCTTTTAGCTCTTCCATTCTTATCTTAAACTCCTAGGAACCTTGGAAGCAAAAGCCTCCTATTTTTTTTTGGATATAGTCTGATTTTATGAACTATAACCTGGGCGTTTTCATGTTATCTGAGCTTTCCCATCAATAGCGAGGATAGTGCCTGATCTTAGCCAGCTGATTGTGAATGAATTTGCAGGGCCAGGCAGAATGTCTGTAGTGGAGTAGATATGTACTCAATGTGACGATGTTAGCTTTGCCTCTAGAACCACATGCAACCTGAAGAATTGTGCTGCTAGACCACCTCCTGTAAGTATTTTTTATTTTGGTTTTTATTGTGTCCTGTTTTTGAGTGTCTGAATACTCCCTTTTTGCAAGATTTGAAGTTGTGAAAAACCTTCTCTTTTTTTTCTTTTTTTTTTTGAGAGGAATGTGAACTAGTTAATTGTCAAATCTTCAGCAAGACTTGAATTTAAAGTTAAATTTGGGATTTAAGTATTTCTCAATTATATAAATAGCCTCATGGATTGTGGGAGACTTGTCGAGAAAAAGAGAGAGGGATTATGCGTGGCAACGATATCAATGACCGAAAATTCACACATCCATGGATGTATGGTCAATGATCATAGCAGAAACTCATCCTGATGCTCATCAATTCAAAGAAATAGGTGCGGATTCATCCCAGAATTGTTAGTTTCAACATGTCATAGTGAGGGTCCCTGATTTAGATTCTTCACTGCATTCCACACACGCATTCCCGCATAACAAAGTGAATATAAACAAGGTTGAGTATGTTAAGTTGAGTTTTGAATCATGATTATCTTGATACAGTGATCCTTCATACAAGAATTTCAGAATTTGTGGAAGCTATATACCTTTGAATTACTATGATTTGTGTTCTGTATTACATCAACAAATGTTTCTTGGAATGTTGTTTTGAATGCAGGTATCAAGGCACCAGGTGGTTTGGAAAATGATTGCCACTGCCTGAGGATCATCCAGGGAAACAATGATGTTGCCGGTACAGTGGTACATAATGGACCAGGTATAAATATATAAACATATAGTGTCCAAAATAATGTAAATATCATCTCAACACATATCATTTCGTGTGACACTTGTTTTGTGACAAAGATCAAAAGAGAGATGACCCTTTCTCTATGTGACCGAGTTCAAAACATGGTTAAGATTTTCGTTGTTTAACGAAGAAGAAGAAGAAGCAGACGAAACAGGAGGAAGTAACTGAGGATAAACAAATTGAATCATTGTCTCCGGCTCCAACGAAAAGTCCACTACACAACGGAACATAGCTCTATTATTCTGCCGCCTACTGCTGTACAATATACTTGTTTGAACTGGTCTTCACTGTCCTTTAAATCGAACTAGTCGTGTCCCGTGTAAGACACGTTTTTTTTTAATGTATAGGATGAGTTAATGTGGTTAAGAAATTAAAATTTGAATGAGTTACTGTAGTTAAAAGATTAAAAATTAAACATTTTTTTTAATGCATGTGTTAAGTTACTGTAGTTAAAATTTAAGTGAGTTACAGTTATCGTGGTTAAAAGTTAAAATTTGAATGAGTTACCGTGGTTAAAAAATTAAAAGTTAAAATTTAAATGAATTACTATGATTAAAAGATATAAACCGTCCGATCAAAACGATTTAAATAATTGTTGTACTGAAATTTAAGGAGCTTAAGCAGTTCAAGCATGCAGGAGGCTTTGTTTTATTGATATAGATTCCTTTTGATTGTCAAAGCTTGAAGTATAGATCCTCATTGACAATTTATTAGAGTATTTTAATAAAAAGATCAAATTTTAAAAGTAATTTGAGTTTCTAACCATTGAGTTAAGTGAGAACTTGAAACTCTCATGTACACAAGAGTAGGACACACCAAAATAACATAATACATAATATTATTATCTGTCGTAATAACTTTCTTATGAAAAATTCAGTTTCTGAATACATAAGATCTAATGGCTAATTTTCCAACAATCTTTTTTCCATTAAATTCTGACAATTATTATCTGATATTTTCAAAATAGATATACACACTACTTTATTTTATATATTCTTCACTATTGTTTTATTTTTTGTGTATTATAGAAAGGTGTCGTATGAAACTTCTATTTCATTAAAATGTGTAGATCAGAGTGAAACAACAGTCAATTAAGCTGAGTTGTTGTATCCTGATGACGAAGCGTTGTTACCTTCTATATTGTGTTTTTTTTCATAAAATAGTACAAATCGTTTTAAGAGAACGACCAAGTTCGAGTTTCACTCTATCGTTCACTTTATCTTTCGAATTTCAAGACAATTAAAATTTAAATTTAATTGCCTTGGGTAATTCCTCCTTGCAAATTAGTTGAAAGTGTATTGGTATTGAGAATAGATGTATGAGTTTTATCACCATTGGAAGTTTTACCATAATTAGGTTCATGTGATTGGGCCAGACTAATTCCAATAAAGTGAAAATAGTAGGTAAAATTTTGCAGAATTACATAAATTTTTGTGTTCACTTTTTTTTTATTTCTTTTATTCTTTTTTTTTTTTTTGTGGGGGGGGGGGTCATGGGACTTTCTTTTGGCCTGCAACATAACATCTAAAGAATCTTGGAATGCCGTACTAAGTGTACTTTGGAAATTGGAAGTATTCTGTGCTCATACAAGTGATGGTGGCATAGTTTTAATTTAGGGTAAAAAACCAAAAATCTCCTTGAATTAATTCTCGGTCTCACTTAACTCATATATTTTTATAGATTGTATTTATCCCTTTTAACTTATGAACAAACTGTAAATTTAAAAGAATTCGTTTATTGTAATGGCGCAGCAATTACACGCACTAATTAAATGTATGTTATAAAATAAATAATTTTTTCTTAAATTAAAAAATTAAATTACCTATTTTATTTTCCATCTTACTTTCTCTCTCTCTCTCTCTCTCTCTCTCCAGACCTACAAATTCATTTTTGACCTACCAAACGATTTGTTTTTTCAAATATAAGGTCATTTTGTAACTCTTTAACCCTAAATTAGTTAGATCTAACCTGCTTTTTGAAACTTTAACAAGTTTTTTAAAGTTTTAATTTTTAAGTTTTTAAATCCTAGTGGGTTTTTTTACCACACACACACTCGACCATGGCTTCCAAGCTCTCAAATACATTGTACTACAACCCCATAACACGACTCAAGTCTCAATTGAGAAAAAAAAGGACGTTTGTTATGTAACTCATTTGAAAATTCATAACTTTAAATACAAATTCGAGCACACACACAACATGAAACTTAAATATAAGCGCACCAATGAAAATCTAAAGAAAAAATAAGGCTGACCATGTTGAGTTTATGTATTAGAAGTCTCTAAATCAAAAACCCGAAATTCTCTCTCTCTATAGGTTGCATGACATGAGATAATTCTAAATTGAATAGAACTTGTATAATTGCTGTGTGGCCATTGAATAATCTGCTTTATGGACTTTGGAATGGTTATGATGCCAATTAGAATAAAGCACAATATCCATAGACTATATAGATTTAACATGAATAAATTGTAAACTTAGACATTTTGATTTCGAAAATTTGCAATTCTTTGAGTTAGGTCATGAAGAATTTATTCCTTATGAATACCATAGTCCCGATGTATATAGTCTATATTTGACTGGACAGGGGAAGAAATTAATTGGAGTGCGCATAAATTGACTCAGACACCCCTATTCGTTGAACCAACAAAAAAAAGGATGGATTTCCTATTTCTTCTAGGTAAACACATAGTAGCTTGGTGCATGAAAACGTTCATTATTGTGAGGCCTATATAAAGTTAAATATTGGACTGTCTATGCAAGTCGTTAGGTTTATATTGTTTCTAACTTGTGTCGTATTAAAATTCACTTAAATTATACTGACTCGTTCATAATTATATACAGTTTAGTTCATGTTCAAGTTTTCTTCTTGACATTTATGTATTGTATATAAGTCGTGTTGAACCAAACTATTTATAATATGTCTACCCCTGAACCCAAAAGTTAATGACAAAGTTTTTGTAATAAGCACATTTTGCCGGAGCTGACGAGTCACAAATTTTTCATGTGGACCCTAGACAAGTATATTTTCAAGACTCGGTCCTAAAAAAAGACAGAAAGAAACTACATTGTGGTCAAGATTAATTTACAATTGTAGTCTTTGTTATCAACATGTTTGCTTGAAAAATTAAAAGATTATAGTTAGAATAAAGAAAAACAACTCATTACCCTTTGAAATGACTATATTACCCTTCTAACCAACACCATAGTGTCACATCTTAAGTTTTCGAGTTATGAGACCGCTACAAATAATATTAAAGCAAGATTCAGTGAATCACAACTACATTAGTCATTTGGGCTCTTTATTGGGGATACCAGGGTTGAGGTAGGCTCGGGTCAAGTGGGGCTCCCACTCTAATGGTGTTGTTGAATGTAATGAAGGCATCACATCGTAGGGCGAGAAAGAATGTCACATAGATTGTTATATAAAGTCATAAAATTTCGAACTATTCTCCACTTAGGTTTTAGAATTGTAAGACTATAATAAATGGTATCAAAATAAGACTCAGAGTCACAACTCTATTAGTCGTGTGTAGACACCTTGTTGGGATACTAAGGTCGAGATAGTGTCGGGCTAGTGAGGCCCCACTCTAATGCTAACGCCGAATGCAATAAAGTCATTGCCACTTCCGGTAAGAGAATGGTACATGGAGTGCCATATCAAGTTATAAGATCTTGGATAGTTCTCTTATCGATCTAATACTTTATGTTTTTTGGATAAATATTATTTTGTCCCTGAAAGATATAAAAAATTTTAATTTATCTTCCGAATGATTAATTTTTTTACATTTTTTCCTCACATACATAAAAACGTTACAATGTGATCTATCGTCTTATTTGCGTTTGATTGTTAGTCTGTTTTGTGATTTCTAATTAGTTGATTTTGGCACAAAACAGATGAAAGACTAAACAGAAATAAGACGATAAATCACATTGTAACTTTTTTATTTCTTTGAGGGGACAACATAGAAAAAATAATCATTTGGGGGATAAACTAAATTTTTTTGTACCTTTTTAAGGGACAAAATAGAATTTTTCCTAAGATTTTGGGTTGTGAAGCTGTCGTAGTAGTCACCAAAGTTGAAGGGCAGTTTCGAAATTTTGATTTATAGATACAAAAAATTTTAGTTTGTCCCTTGAATGATTAATTTTTTTATATTATCCCTTTAAAAAAATAAAAATGTTGTAATGTGATCTAAAAATATTTTGGAACCACATTGTAACTTTTTTATTTCTTTGAGGGGACAATATAAAAAAAGTAATCATTTGTTGGATAAATTAAAATTTTTTGTATCTTTCAGGGTAAAATGGGATTTTCTCTATATAAACGTGTGTCCAAATATTAGATACGTTTAGGCAAAACAAGGATTCGTTGGATCCTTTCCGGAAGGGTTCGTTTGAACCAAAGGGTCTCGTCAATGGCGGCAAGTAACAAACATTCAAAAAAAAACAGTGTTAGTATCGAATCAGTAATGGCCGGCAACTCCATATGGAGCCTCCTCAGTCCTCATTCACCATGGCCAAACCCCCTCTGTTGCTCTCTCTATTTATTCTCTCTCTCTCTCTTCTTCCTCGCCATCATTGGTCTCTCTCTCTCTCGCTATCCCCTTTTTCTTCCCCAAATCGAAGGGTTTGGCGAAGTTTCAGATGTTCCATTGTTGGAGTACCTGCGAGCTTTGCTACATAGTTTGAAAGTGTTTTTGTGTCGAAGAATTGAGTTTTTCTTTACTTTCTCAGGTAAAGGGTTGGTCGGGGTTTTGTTTACTTTCGTTTCTTGGACCAAGATCTGTTCGTTAGATTAGTGATTGTAGAATGTCATTAGTGCAATCTTTTACTTTCTTTTCTTGGATCAAGATCTCTCTCGATCCCTCTTTTTTTTTCTTCGCCGTATAGAAGGGTTTGGCGAAGTTCCAGAGGTTCCATTGTTGGGGTACTTGCGAGCTTTGCTTTCTTTTCTTGGATCAAGATCTGTTTAGAATGCCCTTAGTGCAATTCTTATATTTTTTTGGGGTCCGGTAAGATTTTGCCTGTTTTGATTTGTAAGTAAATCAGTTTATGTCATCATTGCAGTTCCTATAATTTTGGGGATCTGATAAGATTTTGGCTCTCTTGATTGGTAATTAATTAGTTCTATGGTTTCAAATTTATAATAACTGTATTAGGTTTTTTTGTTGGGGAGGGGAGGGGGGGGACTTTGAAAGTGAGAATTTGTTATCAGCTTTGTGGAGGACAGCATATTTCTTATATTGATTTTTTAAAAAGAAAAATGGCAAACAATCAATTTGTGTGATTTAGAAATAGAAATATGATAAACCAATCTTGGTTTTTATAGAATTTCCTTTAAATAAAATTTTACAAAGTTTATAAACATTGCTAAACAATGTGTGTGTGTGTGTTTTATTAATTTACTAGGGTAACTTGTGTCTAAAGGCACAGTACAATGTGAATGGTTTTGAAAGGAATGTTGGTTGCCATTGAATGAGTTTATTTGAGACCGTGGAATGGGCTTATTGAAGCCTACTTAATTTTATATTATATATTATCAACTTAAGTATACTCTTAAGTTCCATATATCAGGAGATGTAGTTTTTTTTTTTTTTTTGTTTAAAAGTTGTAGAACAATCAACTAATATATGTGTGAGCCTAGTTTCTGGGCATTGTAATTGCAATTCCTTACAGAAAGCTTGCTTGGTGAAGAGTTGAAGGCGAAGGATATCCAAAAATGGCAAAGAGGTCAATTGCCCTCGATGCTATTATCAACGAATCAGTTGATCTGGTATTGTGCTTAAAACTATTGTGCTTGTCAACATCTCTTAATAAACAAAAATAAACTTTGCGCTTCCTTAACTTAGAATGGTTTTCTCAGCATATTGCTTTCACAATTAGTTGCAAATAAAGATTAAAAAGTGTAACTGACTACAGAGTCATATTCACAAACTCAACATATCGAAATAACTCGTGCTGTAAAGACGAGTCTTTTGTTTTGCTGAAACTTATCATCGGTTTTTCCATTTATATTTGTCCCAATGTAAGATATCATGGAACATTTGCTTCAACTAATCTTAACAAAACAGGTTGACATGTTTAGTTTGAGGAAGACAAAAAAACACATGAGAATTCTTGGAGAAGCTAATGTCGTCATTAATGCATTTATGTTTTATGCCTCTCTTCCTTTTTTGTAATTTTGTCTGTGTTAAAAAGAGAAAAGAATTTATTGCTGATTCTAAAATTTCTTCATGCAGGAGAACATACCTCTTGAAGAAGTTTTTGAAAATCTTAAATGTACAAGAGATGGTTTGAGCTCCGATGAAGTTCAAGGACGGTTGGAATTGTTTGGATACAATAAACTTGAAGAGAAAAAGGTTCTGAAAACGTGTAGTTAACAGATTTTAATATCTGGTACGTGGCCCAATGGGTCACACGATATTAAATTAATTTTTTGAGTGGGAGGGGTCCACTACAGTAGCTTGCTGCTGGGGCTCCTCGAGCGTCGCCTTGGCGTTGCACTGCTGCCTTGGCCTGGCGCACCCCACCAAAAAAAAATCATTCTTCTGTTTGCCTTTCCTATCTTTTCTCTGTTTTCTGGAAGTTCTCCAGGCTTTGATTTGTTCTGATTTGTTTTCTGTTGTTCTCTCTTGCATAGGAAAGTAAAATTCTGAAGTTTTTGGGCTTTATGTGGAATCCTCTGTCATGGGTGATGGAAGCAGCAGCTATAATGGCCATTGCTCTTGCACATGGTGGGGTAAATCTCTATGCTCTATCACTTTGTTGCTGAAATATAGCAGGCTATCATACAAGAGGTATTTGAGTTAGATCTAATTTACTGTGGTATAGGGACAGATATTTATCAAATTTTCTCTAAACTAGGCATCGTTTGGTAAAACTTTTCAAGTACCTTTTTAGGAGAAATAGTCTTTTAAAGATTTCTAAAAAAATCAAAAAACGAATACTTCTTTGCCTTTTCTTGATCAGGTTTGCATGTATTGTAGTACATTTATGCTGATACATACGTATATTACATATATATCAATCAGAAAAATAATCAAAAACAAACAAAAAATACCTTCCGAAATAAGAAATCTAACTAAGTTAATATTTTTGCTTATAAAAATAGTTAAAAGAGCATTGAAAAATAATGCCTTAAAAAATTTAAAGCTAATTGCGTTTCAAGGTAAGAAATTTTGGGTTTGTTCTATAATAACATAGCCATATTTTGTGCAGCACAAGGGCCCAGATTATCATGACTTTGTTGGCATCGTGGTTTTACTCATTACCAATTCTACTATCAGCTTTATTGAGGAAAATAATGCTGGTAATGCAGCTGCGGCTCTTATGGCTCGGTTGGCTCCAAAAGCCAAGGTCTCACTCTCTCACAATGATTCCCTACAAGCAACTTTGCAGATCTACCTAGTCCTAAAAATTAGATTTTCCCACCCTGAATGGGATTATTGATATCTTGTTGCCACATGTTTTTACTTTATGATTACTCTTGTAGGTGTTACGTGATGGGAGATGGAGTGAGGAAGATGCTTCAGGGTTGGTTCCCGGTGACTTAGTCAGTATCAAACTTGGAGACATTGTTCCTGCTGATGCACGTCTACTAGAAGGAGATCCTCTAAAGATTGATCAGGTATCTGGTTCGCCATATCTTTTAACTAATGAACTTTATGAATATATGATTGGATGCAAAAAGATTTCATACTTTTGTTTGTAGATCAGGTTTTGCCAGTCTTTAGTGTTTCACTTCAAAGTAGAACGCCTCTTTGAGGCTGGAGTTGATGATTCTTCAGTGTGCAACAGGAATCCTTATAACACTTGTTGTTAGAGCAAGGATTGAGTTATCAAAATCATAGATGTTAACCATCATCTAGGCACTAGATGATTGCTTTCGTCTGACTTCTCACTAGTTCTTTCTAGCATTGTCTGGCGTTCTTTGTTTAGATGAAACTGAAGCCAAATGAGTTAAACTAACCTAAGCTTTATTTGTGTAGCTTTTCACTGGCTCACAAACAGTGAATGGACTCTAGCTTAGTTCGGGGCTTTATAATGGAATTGTTTACATCTAAAGCTAACAAACCATAAAGCCTACAAAACAGAGATTTGGCATATAATTAATCAAAATGAAAATAATAGTACAGACCAGACCACCATGCTCAGCTCAGGCAGTTTCAGAAAAATAAGATATTGTCATGGTGCCCAGAAGCCTCAGCATGAAGGTCAAGTGAAGAGATTGACTTGTTCATTGGCAACCCCATGTGGAAATTTTTTTGAAAGGTCCCCTTCTGATGTATGTAGAATGTCATCCTTTTCATACTTCTCCACCAAGCAATCATTTCAATGACTCATCACATTCACATAGTGTTAAATTCTGGTCAGCAGTGCAGAAACTTATAATTCAATACTAGCTGACAGTGGCTCACAACATAATTGTGGACATATAAGCCTTAGAAGTGCATAACTTGCAAGCAATCTTGATACATCGTGATGTTTATTCATGTAAATGGTTTTCAGACATATCTAGCCCATATGGATTATTTGAATCTCTGTTACAAAACAACAGTAGTTACCTGCAGGTTTATCTGCCTTAATTTTGACATGAATTTTGACATGAGAACGCCACCAATTTAACTAGTTTTACAATTTTAGACATATCTCTCACATAAAAGCAAATTGCTATGAAGCATTCGGGTTTCTAGATAAAAACTGAGTAATTGTATATCACCGTCTGCCATTTCTACCAAAATTCACACTCTCAGGTTAAACATTCTTTGTTGTCAAGTACAGTCTGCTCTTACTGGAGAATCTTTGCCAGTAACCAAGCATCCTGGTGAAGGGGTTTACTCGGGTTCAACATGTAAGCAAGGTGAAATTGAAGCAGTTGTTATTGCAACTGGGGTTCATACTTTCTTTGGCAAAGCAGCTCATCTTGTGGAAAACACTACACATGTTGGACATTTCCAAAAGGTTCGTTTTTAATGCCTATCTGTCTGAACAATGAAGAACCAGACAGATGGAATTTCGAATTTTTTTTTTGATGTAATTTGCCGAATTTCATCATTTTTTAAATGTTATTAGCCTTGTTTGTAATTATAGGTGGATATCTCATGTTAGAATTTCCATTCACATATTTCTTGATGAGTATGCTTGGTAAAATCAGGTTTTAACAGCAATTGGGAACTTCTGCATTTGCTCAATTGCTGTTGGAATGGTGATTGAAATCATCGCTATATATGGGATTCATCAGAGGAGCTATCGTGTTGGAATCGATAACCTTCTTGTCCTACTGATTGGTGGGATTCCCATTGCAATGCCAACAGTTCTTTCTGTTACCATGGCTATAGGTTCACATCGCTTATCTCAGCAGGTTTGTTAAACCACCGGCACGCCACACACGCTAATGAAATTTATTCCAAAATTTTCCACGAATTAAGAACAAGTAAATCTATTTTTTTCTTTCCTATTGGACTGAGGCTGTCCAATCATGTGAGATTATGGGAATGATCGACATGCATGCTTTGTGAAGGGTGCCATCACAAAGAGAATGACTGCTATCGAGGAAATGGCTGGGATGGATGTGCTATGTAGTGATAAAACAGGCACACTGACACTTAACAAGCTTACTGTGGACAAAAACCTGATTGAGGTAATATATTCGGTCTCTATATATTTCCTTTAATCTGCATTATGATGCATCATTTTGGATCAAGTATAGCTTTATGGTTTAAAGTTGACCTCTTGGGCATAGTACTGCCCAGGAAGTAGGCTTCTTTAAAACAGTAAAAAACCTGTTTTTAAAGTCAAATATGGTTGATAATATCCATATGGTACTGAATCAATAAAACTGTGGTGATTGTGACTGAAATAGCACACTTTGCCCCAACATCCATCCATCGCCTCCTCCCTTCTAGCCCCTGGGTGGATATAAATTATAAAATCATTAAAGGTGCAATTCTGTTATAGACACCCTTTTTTTATATTCCATTATATTGAAGGTATGGAAAATCGTTTTACAACTTATATTCATATTGATGACATCCATGTCAATTCAGGTTTTTGTCAAAGGTGTTGAAAAGGATATGGTTGTATTAATGGCTGCAAGAGCATCAAGGATGGAGAATCAAGATGCTATTGATGCTGCAATTGTTTCAATGCTGGCAGACGCTAAGGAGGTATTTAATCTACTCCTTAAAATATTTAGGGGTTTGTCTTTACAAATAGTATAGGTTTTTTGTTTTCTCTCAAATCAGAAATGATAGGCTACCCAACATTTTTTCCTGTTTGTCATTCAACGTGGTTATCAACATTCAGAAAACATGGAGTTTTTACACCAAAATTTTGATATCATAGGGGAAAAAAGAAAGAAGAAAGAAAATCATACATTCTTGTCTAGACTAAACTATATATTCCTTTTTTGAAACAAATGAAGGTGCGACTATTATATTAGCTTTTCCAGCTAATGATCACCACTGAATTAACTTTTGCAGCTAATGATTATGCCAAGTCTTATGAAATTTGATTGAGTCTTTGTTTAATGACTCCATTGGTTGTTGAAAGGCTCGGGCTGGAATTAACGAAGTTCACTTCCTCCCATTCAATCCAACTGACAAAAGGACAGCTCTTACATACACAGATAAAGCTGGTAAAATGCACAGAGTGAGCAAGGGCGCACCAGAGCAGGTAGCGCATCATACCTAACTATCTTAAACCCAACTACCAACATTTAACCAGACAACTTAATGCAGAATAGATGAGATTTTTGCATTTATGGCATGTAGATTCTCAATCTAGCACATAACAAATCAGAAATTGCACGGAAGGTACATTCTATGATTGACAAATTTGCAGAACGTGGGCTCCGTTCCCTTGGAGTTGCTCGCCAGGTAACTGAGATTTTGTGAACTTGTCATCTTGTGTATATTTATTTCCTCTTTATCCACAAATAAATGGAAGAATTGAACCTTTTTGCCTCCTCTAGGAAGTACCTGCGGGTAAGAAAGACAGTCCTGGTGGTCCCTGGGAATTTGTTGGCCTTCTCCCTCTCTTTGACCCTCCTCGTCATGATAGTGCTGAAACGATTAGGAGAGCTCTAGATCTTGGTGTGAGTGTGAAGATGATAACAGGTGTGTGTCACTGAATCTTTCGCAAGTTGCTCTCACCAATGATCTCATGTTTATTTGCTGCATCTTTTTGGCCTCTGACTTGTGAACTAAGCAATTTTGAATGATACATCATTTAATTTAGGAGGCGAATAATACAAAATGGCATGTCCTGATAAAAAAAAGGCATGTATGAACTCTGAAGGCCTACATAACTGTCAGTCATTGCAATCATTATCTTAGTTCTTTTCCATGTGTTGCATAACATCAATATGTCTCTGCATAGATGTCGCAACAATTTGGAATGTCAATGGCCTTGCGGAGCTCTACACATACGCTTGAGTTAGATATTATCACTGGAAAGAATATTGATCTGCAGCTGGAGGTGTTACAACAGAAATACTACGTTAATTGTTACTTTCAGGAAGCAACCTGACAGCACAAGGATATCAATCTGAACCCCAACACAGGGATTCATATTTCCCTAAAAGCACATTTTAAGTGAAAAACACAACCTGCACAAGCAGAATATACCAGTATTAAAGAGATGAATTTCATACAATTCATCAATGTCAATGGTTTTTGAATCAGTAATTTGTTCTAAACAAAGGATGAGTGAAAGAATATCCCATATTCCAAATAGTTTTGCAATTTCATGAAAATTTATTAGTCTATACAAATGCAGGGCAGATTACAGTGATGGTAACGGTTGAACACATTCTGTTGATAATAGTGTTTCTATTTATTCAGTTGAATACATTGTCAGTTTAAGGCGTAAATAAAAATTAACTCAATTGATAATCATCTTTCTAATTATGTCATTTTTTATACTTCTGCCACTTGCATTTAAGATGTGAGCTCATGCAACTACATCGAAACCTTTGCAGGTGACCAACTGGCAATAGCTAAGGAAACGGGAAGACGGCTTGGAATGGGGTCAAATATGTACCCTTCTTCATCTTTGTTGGGTGATAGCAAGGATGGGGCAGTTGGAGCTCTACCAATTGATGAACTCATTGAGAAAGCTGATGGTTTTGCTGGAGTCTTTCCTGGTACAACTGATGGTTACAATATGCAATGTCTTTCATCATAATCTTACGGACTTCTGACTTCATTTTTATTCTGCAGAACACAAATATGAGATTGTGAGGAGACTACAAGATAGAAAACACATCTGTGGAATGACAGGTGATGGTGTAAATGATGCACCTGCCTTAAAGAAAGCTGACATCGGAATTGCTGTGGCAGATTCTACAGACGCTGCGCGTGGTGCTTCTGATATAGTTCTAACAGAACCTGGACTGAGTGTAATCATTAGTGCTGTCCTAACAAGCCGCGCAATCTTCCAGAGAATGAAAAACTACACGGTAATGTATACTTCAATATTTGGTACTTTGGCAAAGACACGAGGGTTGTGTAAAACTGACCATAAAGGCAATGAATTTATTTTCTTTCTCCAGATATATGCTGTTTCAATTACTATTCGTATTGTGGTAAGCTTTCTGGTAACTAAACTTTATGTTACAATTCTGTTAACGTTTTTATACATCAGTCTTGTCTCATTTGCAACTTGGGTTGTATATCACAGCTAGGTTTTATGTTGCTGAATGTTTTCTGGAAGTTTGACTTCCCTCCTTTTATGGTTCTTGTCATTGCCATTCTTAATGATGGTTAGTACACTAGTTTTTGAATCTTCATATATTGTTTGAATACTTTTGCATTGACTTTTTCTTCCTGCTGCTTTTTACCTGACCTGCAACTTATCATCCAGGTACTATCATGACTATTTCCAAAGACAGGGTCAAACCTTCTCCCCTTCCAGACAGTTGGAAGCTCAGTGAAATTTTTGCAACTGGGATTGTCCTTGGTGCATACTTGGCTATAATGACTGTTGTATTCTTCTGGGCAGCATATGACACTAATTTCTTTAAGGTAAAATAGCAAGCCAGCTCCAGCAATTCATAGAAAATCATAAACTTAATAATTTTGCGTGAGCGAACAAAATGCACTAAGGTCAAGGTGGAAATATGGAATAAGGAGCCTTTACATTGTTTTCCCCCTTCTCAAATAACTTGAGCTTTTGAGGAAAGTGGTTGTCTAACACCGTTAATTTTCTGGTGCTCCCTGTATTGTTCCAATTCATGGTAATTTGGAAGTTGAAACTATTGACCCTCAGATAATCTGAAAGGTCACGAAACAACTTGAGTTGTCATTCACTATTGTTCTCCAAGTGTTTAAGCAATGGCAATGTTGTGCCTTCAACTGGTCAATGTCCCAAATGCGCCCGAGGTCTTTTCACACAGAGTTCATATTTGTACAGTCACATGATGTAAATTTAATTTTCAATTCTTTGGTTAACCTTCTTGTCTCTTTTCTTTCTTTCTTTCTTTCTTTTTTTCATTTTGTTGTTGTATGGGCAGAATACTTTCCATGTAAAGGACTTCAACCAGCATAACTTCAATATGTCAAACGAGGACGAAGCTAAGCCACTTAGAGAAATGTTGGCATCTGCTGTTTATCTTCAAATCAGCACCATCAGTCAAGCCTTAATATTTGTGACTCGCTCTAGGGGCTGGTCTTTCACAGAACGACCTGGTCTTCTGCTTGTAATTGCCTTCATTCTTGCTCAATTGGTAATGAGATATCCTCCCCCTTTTCAATCAACCATATAATTCACTTAATTGCAAAATTATATGCAAACTTATCAACTACTGATATAATTTGTCATTTTCTTTTTGATTACTGATATTTTCATGTATTTCTAGTATATCAGTTTTTTTGTTAGTTTATTTTTCTCACTTGTTAGTTATGAATTCGTTTTCGAATTTACTTCATCTTCTTTATTCCCATGTGATTCCAGAATTTCCAGAACTATTCGGAACCACAAGGAAAACTTATTTACTGTAGACCCCTGTGGTCATTGCTACCTTTTGTTGCTATCCTTTTGCATCTCCAGTGGGAAAGATGTGGATCATAAGACTAATCTGGGCATGCATAAAATACATGAAAGGGAGTAACATCGTCAATTCTAAAAACTACATAAACCATTTTTATATTTATTTTTAATTCAGGGTTGGGGGAGGTGAAGTTCGAACCCGAGACCTAACGGTCCAATGGCGGGCTGCAGTGGCCATAAGGCCAACCGCTGATCCTCACATAAACCATTTTTCTTCATAAGCATTTTCTCTGAATACATATTCATGTATTTCTCTACTATTGCTCATTTTTTTTGGTTATTTTATCTTTGTTCGAGGAATATACCTGATATGTCTGGTGAAAGAAACACTCCTAACCAAAATGCACTGAAAGGCTAAATTTTCCTGACTTTCAGCAACGTCATGCACTTTGAAGTAGTAGGGAATATTAACGTCTGACTTTATCAAATGGAGAATTATTCAAATCTGCTTTCTTTAGTATGATACCATTCAATTCCTGTCCCATTCTTCCCCCATTTCATTGGTTTGTTGCCCTTATCTCTTCACTTTATGATAGTTGCACCTAAATTTTTCATAGTACAGAGTATGAATTTCAGCTCCCGACTACAAGAAAAGAAGGAACTATGTTTTATCATTACTAGTGTTTAACTGCCTAGTTCCAGCTCATTACAAAAATGTAAATAATTTTTTCTTTGATCAGGCATTTGTTTAATAGTTCGAAACTTGTTATACTTATGTTTGTAGATTGCAACTGTGATATCTGCCACTGCTACCTGGAAGCCTGCTGGAATCAGAAAGATAGGTTGGGGCTGGACAGGTGTCATCTGGTTGTACAATATACTGACTTACATGCTTCTTGATCCTATCAAATTTGCTGTTCGATATGCCCTTAGTGGACGGGCCTGGGGTCTGGTGGTGGAAAAAAGAGTGAGTGTGACTGGAACCCCCTCAAAAAACTTCGACAAAACCTGATAATGATACCAATGGTTCAAAGCTTACCCTTTATATAAAGCATCAATACCTTACTATATAATTCAGGAATTAATAACGACATTTCACAAAATGTGCATAGTTTTTGAACAATTCAAAATTTTCAAATGTTCCCAATGATGTCAATAATTTCCAAATAGACCACATATGCCTTATATTTTTCCTAATTTGCATGATATACCAAGTTTCCAGGTTTGTACATGTATGGAATTCTGAATCTGCTGCATTATTGGGTATTTTAGTGTCAAAAACTTACATGGCGTTCTTTGTTGCATTTCACCAGACTGCATTCACCACCCAAAAGGACTTCGGCAGGGAAGCTCGTGAGGCCGCATGGGCATCTGAGCAACGTACACTACATGGCCTACGGTCTGTTGAGCCAAAGATGTTTTTAGAGACCGCCACATTTAGGGACATTAATATCATGGCAGAAGAAGCTAAAAGGCGTGCAGAGATTGCAAGGTAGCTTTTGACTATGAAAATACATACAAGTAACAGGCATTACATGTTTCGTGTTGTGCATCCCTCCATGATTCCAACCTGTGTTTGGCTCCAAGAGAACATGATTTCTAGTTGTTAGTGGAATGCTTTCTTGGTCTTTTTTTTTCCTCTTCTATTTTACTAGGTTTATTAATCAGATGAAGTTAATGTCTCAAAATATTTTTGATAAGTTTTACATGATAAATCTTTGGCTCTTCGAGATTTTCCATGGGAAGCATTTCAATGATGCTTCTTGAATGCCATCTCTTTTGAGCCTGATAGTAAGTTTTTTGAATTTGTGCAGGCTAAGAGAGCTTCACACTCTAAAAGGAAAGGTGGAGTCTTTTGCCAAGCTGAGGGGTTTTGATATCGATGCCATGAACCAGAACTACACTGTCTAAATGAAGTTTTGACTTTATTCATTTTCTTAGCTTTTTTTCTCCTTTTTGCCAATTGTAATGTTGTTGTCCAATCGTTTTCATTTGTATTTATAGTTTGCTCCATTGTCATTTAGGTGTAGTCGGTTTGAATTGTTAAAGCAATCACTCCGTTTATTGGGGTAAAGCTGCATACACCGACCTTTCCTTACAATGACAAAAGTCTCATGCACTGAATCACTTTTTTTTTTTTGGGTGGTCCTCAAAATTACTTTATAACATATCATTCTATTTTTATGTAAGAGTTCTTGTTTTGTATTCAAATTCTAAAAGTGCAAAGGTTATTGCTAAGTTTAGGCATCAATGCCACCATTGGGTTTTTTTTCTTGTCATTGCCACCATTGAGTTAATGAAAGGAAAAAAAATGGAATTACTTAAAACTTGGTTTGAATTGTAATGAGCTCTAAAATGATACTCATTTATCAAGTAAAGAGTTTAAGCTAAGCTCAAAATCATCATATTACAATTAGGAAGTTGAATTTTTGATTTATAAAAACACAACAATAGTTAAAATTGATTCAATTTTCATCTATTTTGATCTAATGATACAAAATTTATCCCAAATTTTTGTACACTCTTCAATGTCAAATGATCCCTTTAATCCATATGTATGTCTCTTCTCTCTCTCTCCTACCTTTTTCTCATCTTAATTTTAAATTGTGTAATTAAAATAAATTATTATTTAAAATATAAATATTTTACAACCAATATTCAATTATTATAATGCATAGTGGCATGGGATTATTACTAGTATTTGATTATTGTATGGTCAATATTTGATTTTTGTAAAATATAAAGAAATGGGAATATTGCTTATAATTTAAAATAATTTTTTTTGGTAAATATAATCTCAAATAATGTTAATTTTCCCTTTATTAGAAAGATATAAGGGGAATTACATCCACACCACTTAGACCTATTGACATTTGAAATATTATATATAGATCTCCTAAAATTTGTACGTGTATAACACTTAAATCCCTGTTGTCAATATCATAGTCTATTCGTTAGTAAATTATACTCAGATCTTTAAAATTATTTAGGCATGTAATATTTAGACTTTTTAAAATATTATACTTAGACTAAAAATATTCCAATTAAAGATAGAATATCAAATATTTTAAATTTTACAATTAAAATTCATGTTTTATTATGTAATTTATTGAAATAAAATTAAAATTAAAAATCTATTTTTCTTAAAAAAAATTCTAATTAATATCCAATTATACTATCTATTAGAATAAAATTAAAAAATTAAACAATAGGTCAAATTGTAATGGATATAATATCTTCTATCTTTAATTAGGATAATTTGATCGTTGAATAGATTTTGTTAGTTCTGTAAGTAATAAGTGGTTTAAATATAATATTTTAAACTTGAGGAATGTAAGTGTGATATTCTATAAATTTCAGGGAGTTTGGTGTAATTTACTAACAGATTTAGTAATGGTCATTGATGACATAATTTTAAGTGTTACGAGTGTACCAACTTTGAGTGGTCTATGTATAATATTTTAAATATTAAGGTGGTGTTTGGATCACCATGGAAGGATTGAATTGGATTGGATTTGAATCCAAACTCAATCCAACCCAATCCAAAGTAGTCCAGATTATAGGATTATAATTCGAGATTCAAATCTTATCCCATGTTTGGATAGGTTTTATTTTGTTTGTGGAACCCATTAACGTGTGAAGATAAAACATGCTAAAATGACTATTTTACCCTTGTGTAAACAACGTGATCCAATCTCATACCATGTTTGGAATGGAATGAAAATAAAAAATTCAATCCATTAGCATAGTTTTTTTTACAACAAAAAATATGAATATCAAGAAGATTAAAAGGTAGAACATTTGGTTTTGTATTTAATTTTACTTTGTCATTGTGTGATGATGTCTTGTAACCAGATTTGTGTTCAGTGCAACATTGTATTTAGAAGTAGAGAAATTGTCGTCTCTTGCAAAACTAATTCCAAATTTCTTTTATGGCGTGCGCAGAGACGCAAATTTGTAGAACAGGAACTTGAGAAAATGCGGGAGAAAATTCCACTGCATAAGAAACAGTCTGAGGCTGCTAAAGATGCAAAAATGCAAGTTTTAAAGGAGCTAGAGAGCACTAAGAGGCTCATACAAGAATTGAAATTCAATCTAGACAGAGGTGATTGACAGAGAAGAGAGGAAAGACAGAGTGGAAATGGAGCACAAAAGACGATGGAGACACGACTGAAAATGAAATGGGTTTATATACTTGGCCAAAAAAAAAAAAATTCTTTTTTATTGAGCTTTTGTTATATAGACAAATACAAAGATTTCTTCTGGGAAGAAGGTGAACAGTGGTTCACACTCTACAATCCAAACCAAGCTTATTATAAAATTCTACACAGGAATCACAGTCACCAACATAATACGCCAATAGAAAGAAGAGAGAGAGAAAGAGAAAGAGAGAGACAGAGGGGGAAAGAGAGAAACCTGGACCTTGGACTTCGGCACCGTTAGTGGGGGGACCAGTGGGGATGCTGTGTGTTGGAAAGTGATGGAGCTGGGTACCAAAACCTAGCAAAAAACACTGTTTAATGGTGTAATTTGTAATTTTATCATTTATTCCTTCACTAGGTTTTCAATCCTTCCATGGCCATGGGTTTAGATAATTCCTTCTGACTTGGATTCAAGTTCAGCCGTAGAGCATACCGAATTTTTGAATCCCACAAGAAGAGGATTTCAAATTTTTCAACCAAATTTGAAATAAGTGGGTTATTTCACTATTTTAATCCCCTCAATCCTATCAAACAAACACCTAAGGGTGTGTTTGGCAAATCATGGATGGATTGGATTGGCTTGGATTTAAATCCCAAACCAATCCAGTGAAATCCCAATAGACCGGATATGTGGGGGGATAAAAGGAAATTGTGTTATTCAATCCCTGCTTTGGATAGTGCATTAAGAATGAGTTGAGATATAGACAAACTTACTATAATTTTTTATTAAATATCTAATACTTTTGACATTGATTGACTATTTTACCCTTGAATCGTATTCAATCCTATCTCATATTTGGCTTGACAATTGTTGGATACCACTTTTGAAATAATTATTTTTTTAGTTTTTGATCATTGTTGGTTACCAATTTAATAATGTGAAAAATATAAAAATGCTTATGTATTCACCAAATACATATTATTACACGTTGATTTTATAATACAAAATTATAAGTCGCTCACAAATGTATATCATCCGTCAAAGATTTTAACAAAGTACCAACAAATAATGCCAGAATATACGAACAACTACGGCACAACCCAAATTCACAAGAACTATAGTAGAAATTAGCCGTTATTTATTTGTAAAAATTAAAAGACGATAAAATTAATTTCAAGCACCAGACAAAATACAAGAAGGCATTATGGGACTAACTATATAAAAACCTCATTCAAAACATGTAAAAAAGAACAAAATATGTGTTAATAAGAAAAATTATATACAACATACGCATACAGTCAAGTCGTGTGATCTAACATAGTAAGTTCATGAGCATTTTTTTTTAGTCTACCAAGTGGCTGTATTTTTTTTTTAAAAATGTTTTCATCTACTGTCACAAAGACTGAATATATATCTCTCAATCTCCATATATCCTGTATGACCATGACATGCAAAAAAACCAAATCCTGCAAAAAAAGGAAGAAAAAAGATAGAACACAATAACAAGCAAACTTTGAGTGGGACTGCATGGGCAACAAAGTAGTAGCAAAAGCAATTACGCATACAAAAGATTTACACTACTCAGTAAGCAAAAAATAGATAGAGATACATTTATCACACATATTAGTATGTATGTAATCTACTGGCTATGGAAATGGGACTGCAGAAGCACTAGTCCAAAGATTCAACTAATTTTTTTCATTTCAGTATATATGCTGCGATTGGAATGTAACTGGTTGAAAAATAAAAATATATCATACATGTTCTACATTTTCATTTCAATATATAAGTAGTTTCAAAAAAAAAAAATCATGCCACAAATTTTGTTTCTTGTAAGCCATGGAAAGGTCCTTCGTGGAGTATGGGAGAAAACCAAAACAAGAAGAAAGTGTAGAGGATTTCATCTCTCAGCTAGTAGATTACAAAAAAATACTGTATTGTATGAACGAAAAATTTCAGCTTGGACCCAGCATCATTTCAGTCGTCAGCCATGGACGAAGAGAAGAACAGAGAGAGACAGAGGGACCACCAAAAGTGATAAACAGGGAAGAGATAGAGAGACGAGGGACACAGGAAGGAGAGAGAGAGAAAGAGAGAGAGATTTACCTGAGTTATGCGCGCCATTGTCAAAGTGGGGGACCAGATGAGGGATCAGGTGAAAGAGAAAGGAAAAAGGGTAAAAACCCTAATTTACTTACTGTTCTTGGGCATTTTAGTAATTTTATCCCTTATCCATTAGTTGGGCTTAGTAATCCCAAACTTCAGCCGGGTTTGAGGTATCCTAGTCTAGAACATATGGGCCTCCAATTTTTTTATTCAATCCTATTTGTCATATCAACCTTAATCCTTCCAAACAAACACAGGTTTAATGATTAAGTCAGAAACATGCAACAGCCGACCAACGGTCCAACAAAACTCTCATTCAAAAACTCATGCACCGAACGAAATGAAGGTTGGAGAGAGAGAACGAAACGATTCCAATCAATGAGTGAGAAAGAAGACCGGTGCCTGTGGAGTTTAAGAGAGAGAAAGTGTCTCTCCCTCCTCCAACAGAGAAACACCAGAACAACTCTCCTTCAAATCCATACTTTTATGCTCCGAAACGCCCTTGAAGGCAACGTCAACCTCCTCACCAAATTCATCACGACCTGCTCTTCTATTGCTTCCATCTCTGCGAACTCTGACCCACTTTCCGGAATCCACCACTCCCGTCGCATGTTCGATCATAGACTTCAGAGAGATGACACCTTTCTTTGTAACACCATGATGAAAGCCCACCTGGGTGTGCACCAATTTATGGAATCCATAACTCTATACAGAGATCTCAGGACAAACACGGGTTTTGCCCCCGATAATTACACGTTTTCGACTTTAGCAAAGTGTTGTGGTTCAAGTTTGGCCTTTTGGGAAGGCCAAGAAATGCATAATCATGTGCTGAAATTTGGGTTTGGTAGTAACGTGTTTGTGTCAACTGCATTGGTTGATATGTATGCGAAATTTAGAAAGATGGATTGTTCAAGAAAGTTGTTTGACGAAATGACTGAGAGAAACCAAGTGTCTTGGACAGCTCTCATTGGTGGTTATGTAAAATATGGAGAAATGGGTAATGCGAAAGAGCTTTTTAGTCAGATGCCGGAGAAAGACTCAGCATCCTTTAATGTAATGATTGACGGTTATGTGAAGTCGGGAGACATGGGGTCGGCTCAGAGTTTGTTTGACTCGGTACCGGAGAGGAATGTGGTGTCTTGGACTAGTATGATTGATGGATATTGCAATAATGGAGATGTTGATTCAGCTAGGTTGTTATTTGATGTTATGCCTGAAAGGAATTTGTTTACATGGAATGCGATGATTGGTGGGTGTTGCCAAAATAATCAACCCCATGAGGCATTGAAATTGTTTCACGAGTTGCAAATGGGAACGTCGTTTGAACCTGATAATGTGAGTATTGTTTCTGTTCTTCCGGCTATTGCTGATCTGGGTGCTTTGGATTTGGGTGATTGGATTCACCAATTTGTCAGGAGGAAAAAGCTGAATAGATTGACTAAAGTTTGCACAGCTCTGGTTGATATGTATGCTAAATGCGGCGAAATTACAAAAGCAAGAAGAATTTTTGATGAAATGTCTGAAAAAGAAACAGCTACTTGGAATGCGTTGATAAATGGGTTGGCAGTCAATGGGCGTGCCAAGGAAGGATTGGAAGTATTTTTGGAGATGAAAGATAAAGGATTTAAGCCAGATGAGATAACTATGCTCGGCATTTTGTCTGCTTGTAACCATGGTGGTTTAGTGGAGGAAGGGAAGAGATGGTTTCGGTCAATGGTAGAATATGGACTCACCCCAAGAATTGAGCACTATGGTTGTATGGTAGATCTTTTGGGTAGAGCAGGGCGTTTGGAAGAAGCTGAAAAGTTGATTGAGAGCATGCCTTTTGAGGCTAATGGGATAATATTGAGTTCTTTTTTATTTGCATGTGGCTATGCTAAGGATGTTACAAGGGCCGAGAGAGTCACAAACAAGGCAATTAAAATGGAGCCGTGGAATGATGGCAACTATATCATGTTGAGGAATTTGTATGCCACCGAGAGAAGATGGAGAGATGTCGAGGAAATTAAAGGATTAATGAGGAGGAAGGGGGCAAAGAAAGAGGCTGGTTGTAGTGTTATTGAGGTAGATAGTAGGATCTGGGAGTTTGTAGCTGGGGATAAGGTGCACCCACAGTGGGAGGTGATACACTCAATTTTAGGGCAGTTGTGGATGCACATGAAGGGACAGGACAATTAATCCAGAAAGAGACTTAAATAGCTGTTGAAGCTTGGGCATAGCACAAGCTATAACTATCCATAAAGCCAGCAGTCAATAGAGACCAAGTAACAAGGAGTGACCGATATGAGCTCTTCGTTATTTTGTCAAGTTGGTTTTAAGATTATACCATGGCTGATGTTCAAGTTTTGCCTGCATGCATTGAGAAATGGATTCTTCCTTCAAATAAGCTAAGGTATGGAACTTTCTAAACCTGCTACCTTAGTTCTTTATATTTCAGGCTAGTATTTCTATTGCCAACGTAGGACCACTTACCAAGTGTGGATATTCTCATCTCTCAAAGTCTGTGGCACACCTCTTGGAAGCTCACTCAAAACAAAGGCATCTTAGTTCCCCTGCCAAGCTTATTAGAGTTAGGTTGTCAGTTAAAGCAGAAGACCGTCAATTCTGTTAATCCAGCCTTTTCCATATCGCCTCCTGCATTTGTTGAAGAACATATGATTTTACCTTGTAAAGTGAAGTAAACAATGTAGTGAGTTAGAAACAAACTCCAAGAAGAATGGTTTTTGATGACCACTTGAGTGCATAATATTGTTTTTGCAGGGTGACCATGAAACCGAGTCTCAGATAGGACCGATGAAGTGACCCTCCAAAATAGCGCCTTATTTCTCGCCGGTGAAAGAGAAGCTTTCATGGGTGCAGCGGTGTGGGTAAAACCATCTAAAAGCCATGGTGTGGCTTTGCATATACACAAGAAGTGGATGGAGTGGCAATACCTTCAATAAAAAGTCCACCATGGATAGCCTGGGCTCCTCTTCACACTAAAAGTTAGGTCCAAGCCAGGAATCAGATTGTATTATAACCTGGTGGATTCTTTGCTTGACTAGTGCTCACTTCCACTAACAAGTCATTCCATACCCCTTTGCACCTTTATTTCTCTCTCTCAATGTATATACATCATGATTGTGTCTACTCAGTGTCCATATTAGCAAAATGGGGATTTTTATGAGCTTCATGGGAAAAGGTTTGTGATCTCCCTTACCGATATTGGTTTTTTTTTCTTTTTTCTTTTATCAATCTCATCATTGAAAAATTTTCCGTTGTGCTAGAATTTAGTGAAGATGAATATATATATATCACAGCATATATGTATATTTTTTACATCATCAATGATATCAAACTGTTTATTTGGATGATAATAGGGTTGCCAACAACACAGATGTTAAGTTTGGTGATGGGAACACTTTACAGGCAGTTCGTAGAGAAAGATGTCGAAAACTTTGAGGACTTCCACATGGCAATCCTTGATATCTTCAAGTAAGATTTCTTCAACTATAAAACCTGATTTTTAAACCATCAAAATAAAGAAAAGTGATGCTAGCTAAACCCAAGAAGCCATAGTAGCATGTTTGTGACAAAATGGATCATTTTTACCATGTCTTAAACTTCGAAAATTCGATTTTGTTATTGTTTTCTTCTGTTCATTTCCCCTTTCTTTCCAGCAACGTCAATGCAGCATTGCCCGGTAAACATTATGATGTTCCACCGCGGAAAGAAATTGAGGTCTCTCTCTCTCTCTCTCTCTCTCTCTCTCTCTCTCTCTCACACACACACACACACAGGGACCCTACTAATCCATAAAATAGAACAGGCATGTTTTATAGAATGGAAAGAAGCCAATGAATCAGAAAGAAAGAAGCTGTTCATGGACTTCATGAAAAATAGAGTGAATCTTAGCAAGTTGGATGACTCCACCCTCATTACCGGACTGGTAACACCTCCAGCAGCCATGGCAGTTAAGAGAGCCGGTGAAAGTGTGCCTCAGCTGAGAATGATCAAGGCCATCCCCGATGTCCTTTTCGTGCCCTCTGCCACAGTGCTGGCTCTTGTCTCAGTTAAGCTTTCCAGGAGGATGTTCCTCGGAAATGTGGCATCCTGATTGCGGAGTCTCAACCCGAATGCGCACATGATGTAGAAAATCTTCTTTAACATGTTCTCTTATCCTAACTCGGTCCCAATCAAGGAAAGAAAAAGAAAGAAAATCGACATGTACAGAGATGCAAGGGGACTTGTAAGCAAATATGCAGTACAAGAAAGATGCAATTAACATGCAAACAACTATATTGTAAGACTTTGTCGGCCTGAGAGATGTATCAATTGGGTTTTCCGTTTATTCCCCAAATAAAAATCAAGTGCAGACCAAGCCAAATTGATGCCATTAGGATTGCGTAACCAGTGGTATAAGTGCCAAAGCCGTCATAAAGTGCAGTAAGAATTGCATCAGCTGTTTGTTCTATAAAGCATTTCAACAAGAAAACAGATGCAGTATGAGGGAGAGATCACCGTTTATACCACCTCTCTAACAAGTATTTGAAAAGCTAATGTAATCACTCATTCAATGGACAACCCAATTCCCGACCAACAGATTCGAACAGCAGAATAATATATATCAAGAACTTTTCTTGAGAGAGAGAGAGAGAGAGATTACATCTGAATATGAAGCATGTACAAATTTTTCTTGCACTGACGCAACAAACATCAATTTTCTCTGGTCCCGAGCATTCAAATCAAACTCTGTGCACTTCCAACTCGAACACATCTGACCTAAACTGAGGATCTGCGGCTCCATTTACCAGCCTTCCGTGTCCCCCTCTTTCTCTTGATCTTGGGGGCAGTAAGCTTGGAAAGAGAACGTATTTTAGGAGTTGGTTGATCATCTGCAGGCTGATCTTCTAGAACCATAACTGGAGGAATAGTGCTCTGTTGCTCTTCCTTTGGTAGCTTTGCCACCTGGGGCTTCTCTATAGGATGAACCTTAACTTCCGCAAAATTATTTAGCTCCTTCTTCGCTCTCCGGTGGTATATCAGAATTTCATCCCCAGACTACACACATAGGGGATGAGTGAGTTCCAATCACATTTAAAATAACATGAAAACCAGCATTCCACAAGATTCCTAGGTAGTTAAGTAGGTAGGGCGTCTCCATGCTACCTAAAATACCACATTCCACTAAAAAAAACGAAAAAAAAAAAAAATGCTACCTCAAATACCACAATTGTGAATGAAAAAATGGAAAAGGGAAGAAACAAGGTTAAAAATGATAAATTGTAACAATGCTCCTAAGTCCCCTGGGCCCCACCCAAAAAAAAAACCCCAAAAACACCCACCGAGAAGGGGGGAAAAGGACATTAGTACACACACACACACAGAGATAGATAGATAGATAGATAGATAGATAGGGAGGGAGGGAGTGTAAGGATATAAAACAATAAGAAAACACACTTACACTTTTACACGGCAGGCGCTGATCTGTGCTCTCTGTTATATCAGGAATATGGGTCACTTCTCCATGGCTCGAAACTGCACTTTCAGGCATAACCACATCACCCACATTATACTCACATATAGGCTGAGAAGCAATATAAGAAGACCCAAATGGCATTCTGTCCCCATTGATTGGAGGAGAAGCAGGACTTCGGGCAGAGCTGGTGAATGCATTACAAGGTACAAGCAAGCTCGACTCATCAGTCGAAGAGAACCTCCCAGCATTTTCACTCATTACCTTGTTGAGTTTGGTCTTCAGTTTGCCGACTTGTGACTGCACAACTCCAATTTTTCGAAGTATTTGTTCCAACGAATTATCACGCTCCGTTAACTCAATTGATAACAATTCATCGTTGACCCCATCCTCATCTTTCCAATTGGTTTTCTTATCTGCAGAAATCACTGTAGCAGAAAAAGACTAACCTATCACTAAGAAGAACTCAAACACGAATAAACTCTGCAGAATTACAGTGTCATCTATTTTATGTCTCATTCAACAAACATGAATTGAAAGTACTCAATTTATTTGAAATAAAATAATTTCCACTATGGTTGCCATTTTGACAAAGCTGATGCATACATCTTTTTTCCCTCTATTCACCAATTCTATGGTGGAGAAGGATGTGGTGTCCACTGTAGTTGCACTCAATTCTGCAGAAGTTGCACTTCTTCTATTTGAAATTTTTTGGGGGAAAAAAGTGAGTGCAGGCATTTGTTGTGGAAGGTGATTTATTTTGGATGAGAGGCGAACCAGACCCAGAGATCATGGACCAACAACACCAGTCACCGAACCACCAGGAACACTCTCTACGATAGGGACAATGAAGAGTCCACTCTCTAACCACCAGCTGAACCCAACAGCCCCGGCAGAACAGCAACCTGATTTGGAGCTACTCGATGGACAACAAGGGAGATCAGGATATCACAGGGGGTCAGGTTGTGGAGCAGTAGTATCATGAAAAGTGGAAGGGTCAAAGGAGGTGAGGGTTGTGGGTCTTCTTAAGTTCATAAATTTTGTGGCCTTAGTGGATGAACATTCAAAAGTTGGCAACATGCCAGAAGACAGTAAATTTTGTGATATTATGGACATATCATCTTAAGAAAGAGTCTTGCCATTGTCTACCAAGAAATGGCAAGTGTTTTGATATTGACCACATGGCACTCATTCTGAGAATACCCTTCACGTAGAGCTCTAGACTCGACTAATTTGACTGAATGATCAATTGGCTTTGCAGTTTTCCTGTTTCCATTTTAGAAAATGTCCACAGTTTTGCACTCATGTTCCTAATCTCCTGGTTTCTCATACATGGGAAGAATCAAAACATTCCTTTCACATCTCTTACTTCCAAACATATTTGGATTCTACACATATCTTTTACTTTCAAAGATATTTGAATTCTACACATATCTTGGATTTCTGCTTCCACATTCACTCATCTAGTCTCATTGGCACTGACTGAGACCATTCTGAAGACAAATATAACATTGATACTGCTCCGTACGGCTCAGCTACGTGTAATAAAGCTACAAAAAGAGAGAAATTAAAGCATAGAACAAACTTCTTACACCTCACCTAAATTACCCCAATCGTCATCCATAGAAGCAACATCAGCAGTAGACTTCTTATTCTCTGCAATATACCCCACATATAAAAGTCATAATTATAAAAGGCAATTAATGAAGCAAAACAAGAGACCAGCAAAGACTAAATTTGTACCATGATAGGAGAACAGATTATGAGTTGCCATATAAGTTGTAGTATCCATTAAGTTTTCAACTCTTTTTCTTTTCCTTCGCTTCATAACTTTTCCTCTTTGACTGTTACTAGGAAAAGGCAGTAACTTCGCAGCAAAACCTTCCAATTTAAGGTTCTCTGATCCATACTGCTTTCTTTGATTGTTTTCAGCAAGTTCCCTGTCATACTTTATTGCCTGAGACTGAAATTTTTTGAGTTGCAGTTCAACCCATTTACAACGCCACATAAGGGGTCGCACAAATGCCCTCCAGTGAGATGTCAACTTTTTCTTCCTGGAAGAGCAACATGTCAAATAAAACGCATATTGCACATAACAACTGAAATTAAACATGAATATGCACTCAGGAAACCGAGCACAAATATCAAAAATTTGCACAGAAGCAGCAATTTCTTATTCAAATTATATGGCTTCACTCTCCAGTAAAGAAATTGCAAAATAGTATTCCCGGGCATTGGTAAAGTTTTGTGCGAGATATTATCATGTTTGTGAGGATCAGTGTCAGAATAACAAAAAGAAAAGGAAAAACAATCACAATAGGTTTATTGTTCAAAGATAAAAAGGAGAGGGGCAGGCAAATAGAAAGCACGATGGAGTTGAATGCTCAAAAGACCTCATCTGAATAAATGTGCAACACTCTTAATGGAGGAAGCTACTTGACTGCAAGAAGTAATTGAGAGAAAAGATCAGCAGAAATCTACTCAGATTCATGAAAAAGAACGACTAAACCAACTTGAGATTCCAAGTTGGGGAAATCCAAATTCCAAGCATGTTCACATAGTTTCAGGCATGCTACAATCTAATTCGTATTACCTCTCCTCAAGTGGTAAGAGTTGTCATGATATTTCAAAAGCATGGGCCCAAATATGAAAGGTGTCTTTATTATTTTGCACACCTGCCTTTAAATGCCCTTTCACTTTGGTTAAACACAAAAACAAAAACAAAATTTTAGCAGGTAAGCAAAATGAAGCTCTCTAAAACTTTTAATGCATAAAACCATCACATATCTAATGCATAAGCATGACAACATACATGACAATCAAATCACCTTCTTGATCTTCCATATGATAGAACAATGAAACAAATATTTGAGGTTTCACATTTTTTCCTTAAAACCATCTAGCTACAATATACAAAAACATAAATCTTCTCTTTCTTCTAACCTCATTAGCAAGGCCCAATTCACAGCAAGAGACATCCTTGAGAATGTTTTGACAAAATCCTCTTGGCTATTAAGTACTAAGGCTTTCACTGAGAGGTAAATAAGCTCGCCAAGGATCAAATTTTTGCTTTCATGCATAGTTCCAATCAGGGGAACGGAAACAATTTGAAATTTAAAATATTTGTTTCCAAAAAACATCTCAAAGTACTTGAAAGATTGTAATTTAAATATTCAATTACTGATTCGTTTCGGTTCCCATGGAAATGAAATGTTTTGATCGGAAAAAAATATTGGAATGCTGACCCTTGACCTCAAAAAAAGCACATATCAAATACCCATCTCCATAACAACATCAATTAAGACCCTACTTCCCCAACCAAAAATATGTAAAGTTTTTAGGAAGAACCTAGATGTGCCATTTTGAAAGAAGAATAGTAGGGAGAGTGAAAGAGGCCATAGTAGTTTATACTTAAGCCATGAACAACTAAAAATGTTGAATTGATCAGAGAAATTTTGGTAAAGTAGAGACACGAATCATTCACTAATGAAAAACTTTGGGAAAAATAACCCGACAATTCAGTCAAATGTTTGATGACCATTCGCACTCATTCTGTGCTATAAATGCAGATAAAATGTATCTTGAACCTTTTAGGTTTGTGGGATTAAAAAATTTGCAGCAAATTTCAAACCAGAAATAACCTTTGTAACATAATGTACTATGTATTTTTTCACCTGCGATTCAAACATCAAGACAAGTTTTCAATCCACTGTTCCATAATGGAATTCTCCTAAACAGTTTTGAAAGATGAGGTTTTCTTGATTGCCAAATCCAATGCAGAGAGGAGCCTTTTTCATTCTGGCCCTCACCCAAGCAATGATATCTAAGGAATACAAAGGTTGAAGCAAAGATGGATACCTCATTTGAAACACGTCACCAAATCCATCAAATGGCACTGCTGATGTAACATCATCACATAATTCTGACTGAACTTCAGCATCCCCCAAAATTGCACCATTCTCGATTCCTGAATCAGTGTCACCAAAAGAACTCGTGTTCTCAGATGCATCCTGGCAAGCAGCTTCAACCAGCCCATTGTCACCAGAGTTAGAACAATCCATTATATTGACCTCCACCTCCTCATTTGTGTGGGCTTCCCGTTCAACTAAGGAATCTTCCATTCCAAATGTGTTGTCCTCATAATTGCTTACACAATTCATATGCTTATCTTCGAGTCCTCCCATGACCCTGTCATTCTCCTTACCAGCTGATACTTCCATAACAATTTCTGGTCTTCCTTTAATCTCCAGGTCAGGGCCCATACTGCAAATTATGGAACTCAACTCATTTTATAAAGCCATTACTATAACAAACCCAGCGCAGCTCACCTGCAGGACATTTTAATGCAAATATTATTATGAACATTATCATTGCCAAAAAAGAAAGGATGAAAAGGAAACAAAAATGATAAAACCGGGAAGAAAATCATAAAAGAATTAATAGGAACTCAAATGAATTCCCAAATTTAATCCAAAAAGATTGGCAAGGCATGCTTATTTTTGTAAATATCAGCTACACCCCTTGTAGATATCCATAAATCCAAGGATACATTTTGAATTTTTGGGAATGACACTGAAACTCCTTGTCACTGATATTACTATCTCACAAGGTACCTCACGCCAATCACTGATAGGGTAAAAATTTGGGACGTCAACGCAAATTCTTTCCTAACTACCAAAAGGTCAGAAAATGTGAGTTGACTAGAATGACATTACATGTAGAGACGAATGATAAAATTCCCTCAAAGGAAACCAAAAAAATGAAAAATACTTAAATCCTCTTCTTAGGTCACCTCCACCAATGACTCAAACCTTTGCTCAAATTTGAATAGAAATTTGAGTAAAAAACTTAATTTGATATAAAATCCTCTAATGGAGAAACTTAATTATCTTAAAGTTTCTTTCTGTTTTATCCAGAACTTTATTTCCTCCTTACTTTTCTCTACTTCTTTCCCATCTAAAATCTATTTTCGTTTTAATTATCCCTTCACTATCAAATCTCTTTACCTTTCATCACATTTAATTCTTTCCCCAAATTAATTTTAGTCAAAATTTCAAATAAATAAGCACATATCTTTCTTTTTTTTCAATCCCTTTGTTTTCTTTTATTCTTCTTCAAAGTTCAGAAAATGCAAAATCCTTGATTACTAAGATTTTAATAAATGAAATCCAATCTAACAATGACAAATTATTCACTATAGATCTAAGTTTCAACAAACACATTTTTTTAACTTATCAATAAGTTTAAATAGAGATTTTATAAATAAGAAAGAAAAAAGTAGAGTAAAGATAAATAGAGAATGGTAAAATATAACAAATGGATACATAAAAACAAGAGAAATATAATAGTTGGAGATTTAAGCAAAAGATTGAGTCTCCCCTTATTTGGAATGAGTTTGAAACTTTGAGTGACGGGCTATAACTTATTTTTAGTCTTTTTTACTCAAATTCACATTTGATTCAAGATACAAGAAAGCAACAGAGATGCCTTTAGACAACCTATAACCTATAACCAAACATGTTAGATTCACCCACTACTTCATCTCATTTCCAATGTGATCCATTCATCCCCGCCGCTAACAATCAATAACACCACCCATCACCATTGCACACACCATTAACCCAATCCACCTAACCTAAAGTCTCGGGTCACCAATAATAAAATTGATTTGGTTCTTATTTATCTCTTTGATCCTCTGACTACCACAACAACTTCTATTCCTAAATTGCTTTAGGTGATATCACTCACACACCTTTTTTTCTCCATTTTTCAATTTTCAGTATTGATATTTATTTTGATTTGCTTATGGATGTTGATTTTGAATTTTCAGTGTAATGCCAACAGTGGTGGTAGTAGTGCATCTTGCCCGCATGAATGTGGTTGATGGTTGGATGTGATGCTTAGGGGTGACATGGATGCATCTATCTTTTTTAATTTTTTTTTTTTTTTGGGGAGTGGGGGGGGAAGAGAGAGAGAAAGAGTACATGGGGTGATGGTTGCAAATCGGGGTTGGGGCGACGCGTTGCATCTTATTAAAATATATAATAAAGTCAAAGGTTACCCAAGTAATTTAAGTTGTTTTGTTACGCTTGATAGACATTGATAATCAATGTCAGTGTCATTTCATAAGATGCAAAAGACCCTTGCATTTATAAATCCACAAGGGTGTGGCTAATATTTCTCTTTTTTTCAATAAATGAAAAGGCATGCCTGATTAATATGCATAAATTGTTTTTCAAATGGAATCTACCCCAAAAAGAACAAGCAAAACACTATCCAATAACGAGTATATAATTTACCTAATAAATGAGCACACCCGCAAAGATTTACTTTGATCTGCGCCCACAAAGATTCAATACCTGACTAGGTCTATTTACAGGTACTGCCAATTTCAAGGCCGACAAGACATACATTATAATCTGTCTCTCTCTCTCCTTGCCATGCCATTACATTCTCCAATACCACCGCGGGGGAGGGGGGGAATTTTTTATGAAAATGAAAACCAAACCGAAGAACTACAATTAGGAATAGATATGGCTTGATTATGATATATATACCGTGCAAACTGCAAGAAACGCCATGCAACTAGATAATTTTTGAAGCAAAAAATCTTCTAAACTAAATAATGGTACTTTGGTCAATCCCACAAGGATTTCCATTGGCAGTTTCTTCAAAACCCAATGAATAAAACACAAAATTAGACAAAACAAAGCAACCCTACTGAAACTAACCAGGAAAAATCATAAATCAAGTACTAAAAAACCCGAAACAAGAAGAAAACTCACAAAACCCTAAACCCTAGAACGAAAAAGCAGAAATTGAAGAAGAACAAGAGCAAGTACCTGAATTTGTCCAACGAACGAGACTCAGAGTCAAGGCCAGGTCTCCGCCGGCGATTTTGTGGTGCCGGAACTGCTAATATGAATTGGCCTCTTCAAAATCTTGATCAATTAACTAGGAAAATCACAAATCAAGTTCTAAAACCCCGAAACAATAAGAAAACTCCCAAACCCTAAACCCTAGAACGAAAAAAATCAGAAGTTGAAGAAGACCAAGAAGCAAGTGCCTGAATTTGTCAAACGAACGAGACTCTCAATGACAGGTCTCCGCCGGACCAAAATTTTCCGGCGATTTGTGGGGTCGGAACTGCTGATTTGAATTCGGTTTTTTCAAAATCTTCGTCGATTTTGTACGGAGGAGAAGACTGATATCTGATACTAAAGCTGTCGATTGCTCTCGGAACGGAGTAAATAACGATTACGTTGTCACTTGTCAGTCGTTCAATATTAGTATTAATATTAAATTAAATATATAAATGTACAAAGTAATTCTATCTATATATAATAAAATAATTAAAAATATCCACGACTCAGATCACTTGACGATTATTAATATAACAGCTCTCATACGAAATTTTTTCAAAACTCTTATCTCTCGTCTAACTCTCTCTCTTTATCTCATATTAACTGACACAACTCTCTCTATCTTATTCTTTTTCTATTATCTCTTACATGTTTTAAATACACTCTCACATCTCTTGAACAATTATATATATCTAATAATAACAAAATACATTTAATATCCATTAAAACTCTAATAATATGGATTATTTCTAACAAATTATAGATTCAGTAACATAGTCATGAGTCGAAAATTTTATTTAGGGTGGACATTTTAATTATACATTCTAATTTTTTTCCTCTTAACCAATCACACTATATAAAATATTTATATTTTTTATATCATATATTGATACATGAAGTCCATTTAACATAAAAAAGCCAAAAAAATAATGTATATTATATTTGTTTAAAAAAATAACTAATTATCACCATTATAAAAAATCGAAGCTAATTGTCATTTGTATAATTAAAAAATATAAATTATTTACTAACAATCAATAAAATTTATGAGCAATGTTATTGGAACAAAATTTATTGACATAATTTGAGGACATAATGAGTTGTCACCAATGATATGATAATAAATTTATTAATGTTATAATGGGACCCATCATTAAATACATTTCATTATCATTTCATTGATGACAACTAATTATGTTCTCAAATTATGTCCTTCAATTATGTCTCAATAGCATTAGTGTAAATTTATTCAATAAACGATGTTCTAAACATTATCACTAAAATATTAACATAGTTAAACTATTAAACCAAAATTTAAGAGATAAATATATTAAAAAAATAAAAAACAATTGGCACATAATAAAGACTATAATCAATACTCGAATAAAAATAAAAGATAAGTTTTTGTAGAAAAAATAAAGTCAAATAAAGATCAATTGAAAGAACTATCACTCGCAAAAATTCATAATAAAATGAAGGTCATTTGAAAAAAGTCCTATCATAATAAAAAAAAACTAAATAATTGAAATTAAAAAATTATAGTGTAAGTACAACTAAAAAATATGTGTAGAATATATAAATATAAATATACATATCATATTTTTTTTAAAAATTGAGGGTGAGCCCGTGCCCCCCCCCCCCCCCCCCCTTGCCCATGTATAGTTCTATCGGTGTATATATGATCCTAATTAGATTTTCATTTCTTTTTTTAAACGCATATAATAATAAAGTAATAGGAGTTAGAAAGTTTGGCCTGAACGGCTATGTATATCTAATAATAATAAAATACATATAATTAAAACTCTAATCTCTCTATATATATCATATTCTCATCTATCTTATAACTCTCTCTCTCTCTCTCTCTCTTTATATACACCGGTCAACACACACGCCAATATTGACTCTTACAAAAAAAAAAGATATTTTTTAGGTATAATAATTAAATATATATAAATTGTGTACATGTTGATATTTTTTAGGGATCTAGTTTTTATAGAAATTTTGTCAAATTTTTTAAAAAAATAGTGTTTTTAAATTAATTTTAAATTGTGTAACTAAAGAAAATAATAAAAAATAAAGTACTATTTGAAAAGATTTATATTGCATGACCGGTGCTAGAGGTTTTTTGAGTTACTTAGTGTTTTTAGGCACGAGTTATTACTAGTCTATATAATAAAGTAGCTAGTTTTGTTTGTCTTGAGCTTTTCATGACTCGGATCGTTTGAAAATTATTGATCTGACGATCCTAATTAAACTTTCATTCCTTTTAAAACTTTAAGACTATTTTCTCTCATATAACTCTCTCTCTTTCTCATAGACATTTTAAGCACACACTCTCCAATCTCTCTCTCTCTATACATATATATATGTGTGTGTGTGTGTGTGTGTGTGTGTGTGTAAATAAAGACAGAATAAAAGTCTAATTAGGATTTCGTGGCTCAGATCATTTGAAAATTATTGATGCGATGATCTTAATTGGACTTTCAGTCCTTTTAAAATTCTTATCTCTCACACACTCTCTCATCTCTCATACTCTTTCTCTATCTATATATAGAGAGAAAGAGAGAGATAACAAGTGATACCAATTGCACTAAAAAAATAAAAAAAAATTCAAAGTCAAGTTAATCACCAATAAAAAATAACAAGTGCTATCAATTGCACCAAAAAAATTAAAAAATTCAAAGTCAAGCTAATTACTAATAAAAAATAATAATAATGACCAAAAAAAACAAAATTCAAAACCAACAATTAATTTTTTTTTTTTTCTTTATTTGTATCGTTTTCCCCTTACCAATGTACATATTTTTTTTGAATATTTGAATAGTGTAAAATAAACACTAAAACAATAAAAAGGTTAGTTAAATCCAATTTTTTTTTTAAAAAAAGTTAAATTTTGATTTTTTTGATTTGGTTTAATTGCAATGTGAGAATATTTCTGTAGCATCCGAGAAGTCACAACAGTAGAGAATTTAAATCAATTGTCTTCAGTTACAAGTAGATCCACTAGACAATATTAGTTCAATTAGGTTTTTTCTATTTTTTGGAAATTTGATTTGTAGTTCAATGCAAACTAGACAACATATTCATTAGATTTAGTCATAGATTGAAAAAATGAGCATTCATTGGAAAGAAGAGTCACCATGAAAAAAATGTATGGCAGGATAATTTTGTAATGATGTTAATTTAACCTCATGAAAATTCTCGGATTGTGTTAATGTGATATAATTCTTCTTTATTTCAACCCTTGCACTTCTTTTATTTAAGACATTCTTGGATGCCTCATTTGTAAGAGTGCCTTTAGGCACAGGTAATGACTAGTATAAAATAAAATAATTAGCTTGTTTTGAGTTTTTTGCAACTCAGATCATTTTAATCTAATGGTCCTAATTAGACTTTCGTTTATTTTATAACTCTAAATCTCTCATATAACTCTCGATCTATCTATCTGATATTCTCTCTCATACTATTATCTTTTTTTTTTGTTTTTTCTGTGTTGTTTTTGTAATTATTTACTCCATAAAACAGATGAAACTACTTGTTATGCAATTATTTATTCTATGAAACTGATTCAAAAATTTTTATATATCTGACAACATGTATTTTGCCACTTGCTTCTTAAATGATGATAAATTCATGAATTTCATAAATGAGCAAGATTTAGTTGATTTTATTTATTGCTTAAAGATTGTGAATTTAATTGTGTTCTGCTAGTTTTTTTTTGCTTAAGATATTTATAATATGAGGATAGGGTGGATTGGAAATATGGTGATTGAGTATATAATTATGTTGTATTATTTAATTGAGTGGTAGTAGAGGTAATAAATTTGTGAGTCTTATAAATGAGCAATATTCTATTTATTGCTTAAAAATTGTAAATTTTAATGGGTTATGATAGTATTTATTTTTTTTTTCAAGAGGCATTTATAAATATAGTGTTGTTTTGGAGAATTCTTATATATTTTTATGACAGTTCCATAAATATGGAAGATATGATCGTCGTTATATTTCAATTCATTTTTTTTTTAAAAATGGTATAAATATTTTTAGATCATTTCTTTTGAATTTGAGCAATTGTTTTAGATTTTTTTGTTTGTTGTATACTATCTTCAGGCACGACCAATGACTAGTATATATAATAAAGTAACTAGAAAACTTTGTTTTAAACTTTTGGCGGCTCAAATCGCTTGACGATTATTGATCCGACGGTCCTCATGCAGAATTTTTCTTAGGGTGCATTTGATAACGTTTTCTTTTTCATGTTTTCAAAAAGATAAAAAGCATAATCAATGTTTTTTTTTTTTTTTGTGGTTAAAAGTTAAAACAAAAAATATGTTTGGATGTAGTTGTTTTACAAAATTTAAAAACTAAAACATAAAATATGTTTGGTAACCAATTTATTTATGTCATATATTTTACATTTATTTTAATTCTTGATAAACCATATCGACATGATTATATGGTAATATATATATTAACTCATAAAACAGTGCATAATATATCTTTTTTTTTAAAACAAAAATTTTATTTATTCACAAATGCTAAAAAAGCATTACAAGTAGCAACAAAAAAGGCACAAGACACATTTCCTTAATAAGAAAACAAAACAGCATATACCAAGGAAAAACTCAACCAAACAATCAGCTTCAAGAGCATCCAGCCTCTAGCAACAGCAAAACAGAACAAAACTCCTTCCAAGAAAAAAATCATCCCTGACCATCACAGAAGCATCTTCAAAAAACATAATATTGGAACACTCACCATAAAATAAACAAACAGCAAGTACCAATCCCTCATACTCATTCCTTAACACACCACTACCTCCTGCTATACCAGGATTATTCTAAGCAGCCCCATCAGTATTCATCTTCAAACACCAGCAGAAGGCTCCATCCATTTAACCCAAATTAATCTGGTCTCAATATGACAAGACCTCTTGATATGCAAAAATTTCAGTGCATAATACATCAACCCAAAATAAAAGTTGTTAAAAATCCAATGTTTCATTACATAAAGATATTGTTAATATTCTACCAATTACACAAATACACCATAATTACTTCACTAAAATCCCAATAAGTAATACAAATATCAAGAACAATAATGCACAACACAATTAAATTGCATCCACAACAAGAAAGCATAAAAAGTGTGATCCATTTCTTCTCTCTCTTTTCTAAATTGGCATGTGGGATCATAATTTCTGATTGATTTATGTGTTTATCGTACTTATCAACCCAAATGAAACAATCAGCATGATCACGCCATCTTGGACAACGATAAAAAAGGCGACCGTTATTTCTTTTTGTCCGCGCGACGAAAACATTCATATTACCATATCCACATGAACATGGAGGTCCAATTGGTGCTATTATATGATTCCTAT